TATCCCCCTGAATTGTGTTCTATTCATATTTAACTTTATTGTGAACTAATATACTTACTGGTCAGTTAGCTCTAAGGAGAAATTCCTTGTATTTTAATCTTCCATCATGTAATCTGTTTTAATTGCCATGTCAAAGATTATTTTATGCTCAGTGGTATAATAATGTTAGAACTATAGGAAATTATAATCAAATATATATTTTTTGTCTTTGTAAATTCATGATGTCCTTTAGCATATGCCACTCATTGCTGGCAATGAGATGTAGGCCATTCATGACTTTTAATGTTGTGTTTTATTAGTTACAAGCACTTTTTATTTAGGTGGCAGAAAATTGGGGTTTTGTGGATAAGATGGGAAATTAATTTCAGGGTTTTTTTTTGTTTATTGTGTTTTAAATATAGTAGAGACTAAGCTCAAAATATTTCACCATTTCACATGGGTATTAAAATTGTTGCTCTTGCCTATTCCACAAGAAGCACCAGAAATCCTTTCTTCCTGTACTTGTGTTACAGCCTTCCTGACTCTGCCCTGTGGTTTTGGTGACTTCTTTCAGATTGTTAGAAAAGCTGATCCGATTTGCTAAGTAACGGACTTGTAATAGCCAGCCCAAGTTTTCAAAATCTATGGGTTAAACAATTATTTTAAAGCAGTTGATGATTTTTAAAGGAGTATGTATTGATTCATTGCACAGCAGTACCATTGAGGGGTGTCAGCGTGAGGCCATGTTATCCCACAACAAAAGCAGTTTTTTTTTGTTGTTTAGAGACAGGATTGGTTTGTAGTTCTGGCTGTCCTTGAATTCACTGTGTAGCCCAGGCTGGCCTCAAACTTGTGGCAGTCTTCCTGCCTCAGCCTCTTCAGTGCTGGGATTACAGATATGTGCCACCATGCCCAAAAATGCATTTTAGACTTTGATGTCCCCCACGTCGATGTTACAAGCAAACCTGTTACTGTTAGATATTTCTTTGCTCTGATTCACACTGAGTTCTTTTGGTATGACTGTTGATTTTTAAAATACAAATATGGAGAGTTTATTGTACTCAGTACATTTTTATAAAGCTTTTGCAATAGAAGAGAAGCTGAAATTTTTGGGAGAGTGTGGATTTTACTAATGACTACAGTCATTTTTTAAAAAGTATCAACATTTTTTAGAAGTATCGACTTAATCTTTAACAACTTATTAAGTAAAATTTCTTTCCGAGTTTAAATCATGATTTTTGTCAAGAGATGTATTTATAATTCTCAGCTGGAGAAAACTACACTTAGTGTAAAACACTCAAATGAAAAGGTCAGGGTTGTACCTTTATAAACCCCTGGTTGTAAACCAAGGATTCAGAAAAATCCCTTAAATGTACTAATGGCTAATTAAGATGTTTCTTTCAGGTATTTTTTCCTGATTAAATTTGTAGTTATATTTGGAAGTGTTTAAAAATCCATATTAAATGTGGCTTGTATTACAAATGTCTGCATTCTACCAATACCCTTCATTTCAGCGTCCTGTTGTTCAATGCTGAGCTCACCCCATGCCCTAGGCTGGGCTCAGCTCGGTGGTCGGGCCTGCGTCTGGTACATGTGACTCCCTGGGTTGCATCTCCAACACCAAGGTAAAGAGTTCATGTCAACACTATAAGAGCAAAACCCTAAAAACTGAATGCGCGTTGACAGAGAATGGATGAGTGGTCACCCAGAATAGTGCTGTGGTCACCTAGCATGATGCTGTCCAGAACGAAACAGGAATGAGCTGTCAGCGCAGGTGAGTCCACAGAATACAGTGCCCAAAAGCAGCAGATGAAGTGTGCAGAAGAGTATAACTTAACAGACTTACTGAAAACACTGTGCAAGTGTTAAGGGGTACGTGTGAAATGAATCTTTAAAAAGCAAGAAGTAGTACTAGATTTAGACGCTGGTTACTTGTAGAGCAGTAGGAGGGTGAAAATGGGAGGGATATATGAGGGGTTAAAGAGTATGGAGAGTGTTCTAGTTATCTACTGCTGCACTCCAGAACACGTTTCAAACAACATCTGTTTTGCCAGTGAGTCTACTGCTTGGATGTTGTGGTAGAGACCTAGTATCTCTGGCTTCAGCCAGAACAGGGGCTGCTTGGAGGGTGGCGCCGGCATCTTGGGAATCACCCCCCATGTGGAAAGCCCACCTGACTGCTGCTGGCACCTGGGTGGGGCTGAAGCCCCTCTGTTTTGCTTCTGTGTGGCCTAGTGGCTGAGTTTCCAGAACAATGGTTGATGGAGCCAGGAGAAGCCGTATTGCCTCTCTTACTGGCATTAGAAATCACCCGGGGTCTCCACTGTGTTTTGTTCAAAGAAATCCTGCAGGTCTGTACAGTTCCAAAGGGAAGAGAGAAACGGCATGCTAGCGTACTTCTGTAATCCTGGCACTCGAGAGGCTGAGGCAGGAGGATCACTGCAAGTTTGACGCCAGCATGAAGTAGCCAGTAAGACCGTGTCAAAATAGAAGTAAAAATTACCTCTGTTCACAGATGACATAATCTCATATTAGAACCCCCCAAAATGGTTAAAATTAATACATGTAGCAAAGTTGCAGGATTCAAAAGCAAAAATCAGTTGCATTCTGCACACTGACAGTGACAAGTCAAAAAAGAAATAAAAGTCACATTTAAAATAGCATTACAAAGAATTAAAATTAGGAATAAGATTAATCAAGGAGGTGAAAGACTTGTACACTGAAAATCCCAAAACTTGCTGGAAGAAATTAAGACACAAATGGGAAGCCATCTGTATTCAAGAGTTGGAATGCTTAATACCGATGGCTATACTACCAAAGAGAGTACAGGTTCTGTGAAATCCCTATCAAAATTGCAATGGTACTTTTTTTTTTTTTTGGTACCAGGGATCGAACTCAGGTCCTTGTGTTTTTTGCAAATTTTTAAAGTCCAAAAATTCATAGGCAATTTTCAAGGACCCTAAGTGCCAAAGACAATCTTAAAGATCTGGAGGCTTCTCACATCCTGGCTCAAAATATAAAGCTCCAGTAACCAGAATGGTGTGCTCCTGGCATAAGGTAACATGGAACAGAGTAGCCCAGAAATAAACCCGGAAGCACCTGGCCAGATAATCAGCAACAAGGTTGCCAAGACAAACCTCAGAGAAAAGGACAGCCTCTCTGAAGAATGGGGTGTGGCCAGGTAGCCCCGCCTAGGACGGCTGCTTGGGAGCTGAGGAGGCTGAGGACTGTTGAGCCCAGGACCTCTAGGCCAGGCTGGGCTGTAGAGCGACATCTGGTATCTAAAAAGCCAGGACAAACCAAAGCGCACATGGGGGAAACTGGATATGCATATGGGAAAGGGTGAATATGCAGAGAATGAGGTGGGCCCTTTCCTCTACACAGAAATTAACTCCGAATGAATTAAACACCTGAAACCATAAAACTCCTAGAAGACAAAGTGGAAGCCTTCATTACATCGGATTTGGCAGTATTTTCTTGGATGTGACCCCAAAGGCACAAACAACAAAAGCAAAACAGTCAATCGGAGGAAAAGGTGATTGTGAACAGGAGGAAATACTTGCTGTGCCAGGTGGTTCTGTCAACTGGATATTTAGTGATGCAAAGGGATTACTTTTTCAGGTGGGAGAACGATATGTTGTTGAAAGGATTCTTAGATATACATTGAAATATTTTGGATAAAATTAAAGGCCAAACGAGTGCAAGTCACAGTTAATTATTAACTCAAATATGTGATTCTGTTTTTTGTTGTTTTTTTTTGGGGGTACCGGGGATTGAACTCGGATCCTTGCACTTGCAAGGCAGGCCACCGAACCGCTGAGCTAAATCCCTGGCCCGAATATGTGATTCTGAATAATTGATAGAGTCCAAAAGAAAATTTGACCTTGATAGTGGAACGTTATCCTTTGGGATTAAAAATTTACTACCAAAATTACAATCCTTTGCAGGATGCACTCATATTATTCAGTGTTTCTAGAAATAATACTGCATTTCAGTATTTAAAACAGTCTTATGACAGGAAAGCCTGTAGTTTGAAAAGAATGCCCAGGCTATAACTCTTGACAGGGAATGTTAGAGATGGGGTCTGAAAGCACAGGATAGGAAGAGATGAAGGAAGTGATAAAGCTCTCAGTTTCTCTGACAGTCCCAAGTGAGGGGTCGAGAATCATAGGTTTTATTTATCCATTGTGTGTGTATGCGTGTACATGTTTGTAAGGTCGGTCACTGAAACCGGTGTTCGCACCGAGCTGCATTCCCAACCCCTTCTTTTGATACAGAGCCTTAGTCTCAAATTGCCCAGACTGGACTCCAACTTGTGATCCTCCTTTTAATTTTTAAATTTCACATGAGTTATTTTTCTAGTAATAAAATTTTAAATGCTTATTTTTAAATTTTAACAATATGACATCTTTGGGAACACATACTTAATCTTACACATTTCTATTCTCCATGTTCTCCTGTCAATACAGTGCCAGTACATGTGCTTAATATCATGCATATTCAGTATCGAGTGTACAGTATCAGTATGTGGTCAACAGTAAATTCCTTGATGAACTTGTTTCTAAAGAATCTTAGAGCTAGATGGGATTTTTGGATAGCTGACCCAATCTTTTTTATCTTTATTTTTGTTTTTGGAGACAGGGTCTCGCTATGTACTCCTGGCTGACATAGTAATCCTTCTGCCTCAGCCTCCTGAGTGCTGGGATTATGGCATGTGCCATTTCACCCGGTGAACCAATCATTTTAAAATAAAAAAATTGGCATTTTCTAAAGAAATGCCGATCGGGGTGCGCCTGGCGTAGGTGAGCTTTCCATCACCGCCCCCGCCCCCCCATCCCTGCCTCCTCAGAAAACACGGAAGTGCACAGTCAGGGCCTTTGCTCTCCGGTGACAGTGGCGCCTTTGAGCGTCTGTAGGCTAGAGGAGAACTCTGCGCACGCGCAGAACTAACGTCTGTAGCCTGTGGGAACCTTCAACGCGTGGGCTCCTCGCAGCTGAGCGGCGGCTTCCGTCCGGTAGGTTTTGTTTCGCTCACCCGGGGGGCGGGGCCTGCGGGACAAGATGGAGTTGGTGCAGGTCCTGAAGCGCGGGCTGCAGCAGGTCACTGGCCACGGCGGCGTCCGTGGCTTGCTGCGGGTTTTCTTCAGGTAGGCGCCCAGAGCTATGCTCTTGGTCTCTGCGGATGCACCAGCGCCTCTGGTTCTAGGAAAGGAGCCCGGGCTTGAGTCACCTCGGAGACCCCGCGGTTTTGTCAAGGACACCGGCCCGGGGTCGTCTCTCCTTGCCTTCCCCGTGGAGGTCTCCGCCCGGCGGCCCCAACACAACACCGAGCCATCTCCGGAGACGGAGCTGTGGGAGCAGGAGAGCCTGGCCGGCCGACCTTGGGCGATTTTCCCTGCCCTGCCCTCCAGGTCCCTCCCTGGATAGCCGGACCCTGAGGGCGCAAAACGAGCTAGAGGCAGGAGGGCAGTGACAGAGCTGGGCCCCGGGTCGCTGGAAGACGGTCCCAGAAGGGTTTGCTAACTCCAGGGCCAGTGGGCGCAGGAATAGTACGTAGATAAAAGGAGTCCTGTCATTTTAAAGATTGCATTTTTACTTATAGTGCAATTGAAGCACATTAGTTGGGTCAGTTTATTTTTTTCCCATCCTGTCTGCGTGCTACTGGGGAGCCTGGTAATAAGAAGGATTTCTAGAGTTCTTTAACTTTGAGTGCAGGTAACCGGGAGATGACGGCCGGAAATCCCCTTACAGCAGGGAACCATCCCCGGCCAGTATCTCATTTTTCTGATTGTTACAGCAGCATTTGTCTCTGAAAGTTCGTGTTCTCACCCTATTTCTTTTTTCTTTCTTTCTTTTTGGTACCAGGGAATCGAACTTGGGCCCTTGTAGTTACGAGAAACCTCTGAGCCAAATCCCCGGCCCTCACCTTTTTTCTGTTTGTATTGTGAACAGCGACTCATTCTGATGAGCATTTTCTTTTGGACATTGACAGGGCGAATGATCTGAGGATCGGTACATTGGTGGGAGAAGACAAATACGGCAACAAATACTACGAGGACAACAAGCAATTTTTTGGTGAGTGTAGTACTTGTGGTGAGGATGAGTGGATCGGATTTGGGATTTGGTAAGAGTGTTTCATGCTGTACTGGAGATTTTACAAAGCACTTGGAAAAGGAGAAAGTAATAGAAACATTAAAAAAGATAATTCACAGGAAAAATGGTAATGAAGGTATGGAAAATGCTCATCCTCACTTATAATTACAGAAAAGGAGCTTAAAGCACTCTCACCTGCATCCCCAACTCTTTTTTGTTTTTTGAGACAGAGACTCACTAAGTCCCTAAGGCAGAAGAATTGAGTTGGGTGTGGTGGCACATACTTGTAATCTCTAGTGCTCAGATGGCTGAGGCAGGAGGATCACCATGAGTTTGAGGCCAGCCTGAACTACACGATGAGACCCTGTCTCAAAACAAAACAAAGTAATCAAATTTTTTTTAAAAAAGAAAAACAATGAAGGTCAGCTGGAAAATTTAGGAATTTGTTTTGAGACAGTTTGGCTGAATTCCACAGGCCGAGTTTCCTTGAAATTGCATCCCTCCTGCCTCAGCCTCTGAAGTAGCTGGGATTGTAGGTATGCAGCCCTGAGTGTGGCATCACCCATTTTTGATAGCTGCAGAAACTGAGACTTATAAAATTTGCCTACTATCCGGTGTTATTAGTATAATAACAGTAAGTGACAAAGTCGTGATTGAAACCTAGGTCTTTACCCAGTTTAAGAATCCACTCAAAACAGCATTGTGCTGGGGATGGTGGCACATGTCTGTAATCCCAGCACTCAGGAGGCCAAGGCAGGAGGATCACCAGGAGTTTGAGGTCAGCCTGGGCTACCTAGTGAGTCAGGGTCAGACTAAATTACATTCATAGCAAGACCCTGTCTCAAAAAAACAAAGGAAAAAGTTTGTGAATAGTGGTTAGGCCTCCAACAATTCCAAAAATTTTTGCTAAAAATTGCAACTATAGTATTTTGATGACAAGTCACCCAATTTAGCTAGCCTACACATTTGCTTATTATATATAACTTACAGACATCCAAAAGGATGAGAAGTGATTCTCTTAACATATTTAACACAGAGTTCAGTTGTTATTCTCCGAATACATTCCTGCCCTGTTTCAGGAGGAGCATTTTCTGTCCTGAATAGCTGCGTAGCTGGAACACAGTTTCCTATCCACTCAGCCCGTGCTTTACGGAGCCTGAGCCCTGCCCCTTTGGTCAGGACCCTGCTTGGGTGGGTAAAGCTTGCCACATGCTCGCTGGGTTTGCCTTCTCTGCTATACACCTAGGGTGCTTAGTCCTCCAATACTGCTCTATGTAGGAGCATGTAAAGTTCCTAAAAGATCACTTCTTTACTAGTATAGATTGACACGGAAAAAAAAAGATTTTTTCACCTCCTGACATCTTTCCGCCAGGCCGTCACCGATGGGTTATGTACACTACCGAAATGAATGGCAAAAACACTTTCTGGGATCTGGACGGAAGCATGGTGCCTCCTGAGTGGTAAGCTCATGCTTGATTGCCTCTGACTTGGCAGTGTTTGCTTCACTGCACAAGTATTTCCTGAACATCTTATACAGCAGTCTGGTGTTTTTCCTGAAAGAAGATTTTCTCAGTTATCATGGCTACCTATCAAGTTATCCTAAAATTCAGTGCGTTAAAGCAGTAATTCTTTTTTGTTGTTGTTTTGCTTTTGTTTTTGAGACAGAGTCTTGCTTTGTAGTTCAGGCTAGCCTTGAGCTCACTACATTCCCCAGACTGGCCTTGAACTTACAGCGATCTTCCTGCCTCAGCCTCTACATCCAGAATGATTACAGGTGTGCACCACCACATCCAACAGTATGCGCGTGTTGAAGTAAAATTCTAAATGAACTGAGGTGAATCTTCGGTTGTTGAATGAACTATTTCCAAGCAGAGTACTTCTCTCTGTTTTATAGATTGCTGAAGTAATGCCATATGGTTGATATAAAATCAAAGTCTAGAGATCTTTTTCCAGCTGGTCTAGAAAAATTCCCCCAAAACTAAAAAGCAGTGTATTAGCTTGACTGTGTCATTTTCTTTTAGCTGCTCATCAGAAATAGTTTTGTCCTGGGGATTTAGCTCAGTAGTGCTGCCACCTGCCTCACAAGCACAAGGTCCTGAGTTCGATCCCCAGTACCAAAATAAATAAATAAACAAACAAACTAAAATGTACTATATATATAAATTTAAAAATAGTTTTAGACTCTGTTGAGCAGAAATTGAGTAGAAACTGGAATAATCTCAGCTTCTTCTCTCCATTCTAGAGATGCTCTTGGAAACCCAGGTGTGACACAACCATTTTTCACTGCCGCTGGGGGTTGGGGGGTCGAGGGGTCTCGGGGCTGCAGGAACTGAGAAGCACAAACTCTGTCAGGGAGGGCAGTGCAGCAGTCAGGGGGGGCCGCGCCTGCAGGAACTGAGAAGCACAAACTCTGTCAGGGAGGGCAGTGCAGCAGTCCCCAGCTCCACTAGGATTTCCAGAGAATTATTTTTCCAAAGATGCACATTTGTACTTCACTGTGACAGTTGTTGCTTTTCCAATATTGATTTCTAAGAAGTCTTTGACAATTTAAATACAGCGTACCCAGTAGGACTTTGCACAGTGACGGAAATATTATATTCTGTGTCCACGTGAGAAGTAGCCCAGAGAGCTTTAAGACGTGGATAGCACAGCTGAGGAGATGAATTAGGGTGTGTAAGATGTCGCAGTCAGGTTTGAACTGGCCTACTGGTCGGACTGATTGCAGCGTTGATACCCTCATATGAAGGACTATGCCGAATGTGAAAAGGCAGTGCTGACTTGGAGCTTTCCTGCGCTACACTTGGTTCTGAATAGTGTGCTGTGTTTTTTGTTTGTTTTATTTTTGGTTTGGTGGAGGCACTGGGGATTAGACCCAGGTTCTTTGCTCTGAGCTACATTCTCAGCCCTTTTAAAAAATTTTTATTTTGAAACAGAGTTTCACTAAGTCAGTGAGCTTCTCAGGCTGAGCTCCATCTTGTGATCCTCCTGCCTTGGCCTCCCAGAGTGCTGGAATTACAGGCATGTGTCACCACATCTGGCTGGTGCTGTTTTTAATGGGAAATGTAATCTGTGGTTCTACTAAGGTCTGAGGGGCTATGACTTGAAGCTTAGAGCTGCCATCCTCTGAAGGGGCATCCTGTGTTGGGAGGACACCAAGAGCACAGTCTGAAAGTGGGACATAGGCTTTAGGACCTGAGGATGTCACTGCATGGGGTTCAGAGACCCATGGGAGGGTTAGGACACTATTTAGGGAGACTTCTTTGAGGAAGTGATGTTTTAGGAAAGACCTAGAAGAAGGGGGAAATTGTTGCAAAGGCAGAGGGAGCTATGGGTGCAGAATCCTTGTGTGTGTCCACAGTATCGTTTGGTCCATTGAAGGAACAGAAGAGCAGTAACTAACAGGGCCAATTTGGCGGGAGTGCAGTGATTGAGGGGACGATGTTAAGAAATGGGTAGGAAAACCACTATGGCGCAGCGAATGTAGACCAGTGACAGCGAACCTTTTAGAGACCGAGTGCCCAAACTGCAACCAAAACCCACTTATTTATCACAAAGTGCCAACACTGCAATTAAACCTGAATAGTGAGGTTTTAATTTAGAAAAAGAAACTCTACATTAACATCTTTTGTGCTATAGGTTTGCCACCACTGGTATAGATCCTGTAAGCCATGCTAAGCACCTTAGCTTTTTTTCCCAGCATTCTTTCCAAGTTCCCAGAAGGGAAGGTAGGACGTGAGCTGATTTGCATTTTTCTAATTCAGAATAATCCTAGATTTTGAGAGCCATTACAGGTATTTGAACAACGAAAATTACTCAGATGATGCCCCATCATTCCTAAGTGCGTTAGTGTATAATTCCTGAGAGAAGACATTCTCCTATAGGGCCTCAGTGTAACCACAGTGGACTGACAATGATAGGCCACACAAGGAGGGCAGCACTTTATCCCTACCCTCAGGGGTCCTTGGCTGGCCAGAGAATTAGATTGACACAGTACAAATCAGCTGGAGACAAATATGCAAATTTACTTCATAATACACAAGTGCACGCACACGCGTGCACGCACACACAGTGCTGGAATCAAACCCAGGCTTCACACCAGCTAGGTAAGCGCTCTTCCACTGATCTGCAGCCTGGCCCTGTCTGATGTACTTTTTACATGACACAGGAGCCCTCACAAGGATGCGAAGATTCATGGACACTGTCAGTGTTCTCTGCTTCTGTACTGATGTGTTGTCAGCTCTGCATCACTGTAACATAATACTTGGGTAATTAACTTATAAAGGCAAAGGTTCATTCAGGCCTGCTCAGCTGGCCCTGTCGCTTGGGGCCTGTGGCAAGGTAGCGCTGAATGGCAGAACACATGGCTCAGACGAAAACCACTCACTGCGTGGCAGGAGACGGAGGGGAAGGGGCTGGGTGCCACCCAGTGACCTAATGGCTACCCACAAGATCCCAGCTCTCTGGAGTTCCACCACCTTCCGTAGTGTCACCCTGGGGACCAAGCTTTTGTAGATCATTGAGGATGCAGACTGCAGCAACTGGACTGGGGGCAGGAGGTGGGGTTGGGAAGTGGCTAGGATGATGAGCTTCACCTGAGCACACCTGATAAGCACTCTCCTTTGCTTGTGGCAGAGGAAGGACATTTTTCTCATGGAAATTTCATCTCCTGCTTCTAAGAAAGCAAAGCAAGATCAGAGTACTGTTGTGTCTGCTTTTCAAGTGCCTGTAACACAAAACTGTTGATGTTCCGTGGTAGCATGTCGTGGAGGGCACGATGCAGGCTCCTTCCGCCGCTGCCCTCTGATTTTCAGACCCCGTTCAGGGTTTAGCATTTGTCACAGCAGTGTCCTTCATGGCGAGACAGTCAACCACACATTTCATGTCAGCTTCGAGGCCCTGATTTCCATCACCCTGGACTGTGGATCCTCAGCTTTTCCTTAATTGTTGTGACCTTGATCCTCTTGAAAATGATGTGGTAGTCATGTTCCTAAATGATTCTCGGCGTTTGTTGGATGTTTCCTCATGACTGGGTTCATTCAGACTGTGCATCTTTGACAGGGTTTTCACAGAAGCCAAGGGGCGCGCAATGTTGATTTGTCCCTTTTTAGTGAAAATTTCTATTACTTCGGAGATGTCTACCAGATTATTCCATTTTGAAGTTAATTCACTGTCCCTCTGTTATTAATTGGTGTTTTGTGCAGCAGTACATTAAAGGGTTTTTTTTTTTTTTTTTTTTTTTTTTTTTTTTTTTTTTTATTTTTTTTTTTTTTTTTTTTTTTTGTGCTGGGGATTGAACTCGGGTCCTTGCGCTTGCAAGGCAGGCAGTGGAACCACTGAACTAAATCCCCAACCCCATTAAAGTTTATATATCCCATTACTCATCAGACTTTTAATCTATTCATTTATTTATGTCAGTATATTATCTATTACTGTAGTTAGGCCTTTCCCTGGGAAGGGAGGTGGATACTGGGGATTGAATTTAGGACTCACACTCAGCTACGTCCCCAGCCCTTTTTTAAATTTTTATTTTGAGGCAAAGTCTCACTAAGTCACTAAGTTGCCCAGGTTGGCCTCAAACTGGGGTCTGCCTGCTTCGGCCTCCCACAGAGCTGGGATTACAGGCGTGCTCACCCCATCTGGCTTATAAGTACTTTTGTTGCTTCATTTGAGCTCAGTTTGACAGTGGGGGCTCATTCAGATTGCATTTTTGCCTTTTATGTTTTTTATTTTGAAATAGGGTCTTGCTAAGTTTCCCAGGGAAGATCCAAACTTGCAAACTGCCTGCGTGAGCCACTCCAGTAGCTGGGATTAGGGTTGTGCACCCCCTCGCCTAATTAGATACTGCATTTTTGCGTGTTGAAGTTTGTGGCAACACTTCATCTGCCCAATCTTTTGGTTCCATTTTTCTAACAGAAAGTACTTATTTCATGTCTCCTTGTCATATTTTGGTAATTTTTACAATGTATCAATCCTTTTCATCATTATTAGTAATATGTCACGATGATCTCCATGTTATAGTCATAATTGTTTTAGGTTGCTTTGCTGAAATATGATCGCAAACAAAGTGGGTAAATGTGTGTTCTGACTGACCCTGGCCACCTGGTTTCCTGAGATAAAATCATAATGAAATTCAGCCTGTTAATAGCCCTACAGTGGCCTTTAATTGTTTAAGAGAGAGTCATGTGCCTCTCACTTTAAATCAGAAGCTAGAGATTCAGCTTAACGAGAAAGCTCATCTCACTGAGGTGGGCTGAAAGGTAGGCCTCCTGGGTCAGTTAGCCAAGTTGTAAATGCAAAGGAGAGTTTTGTTTGTTTGTTTGTTTTTGTTTTTTTTGGTTCTGGGGATCGAACTCAGGTCCTTGTGCTTGTGAGGCAGGCAGCAGAACCGCTGAGCTAAATCCCTGTTCCCAAAGGAGAGGTCTTGAGGGAGGAAACCAGAAGAGCTGTTCCAGTGGTCGTG